AGCTGACATTTTGATTTCAACCAAGTTTTCAAATTCTGATTTCTTCTCATACTGGAAAAAGATGTACTCATAGGACTTTTCATCAGTTATCAAATAGACTTACAAATTAAAGTTTCAAAAATGTTCAAAATTATTGTGCATTCTATATAGAATGTCCAGAAGCAGTCAAAATGACAGATACTCATTCAATAGCATTTTGTACTATTTCGCATTTCAGGATCTGTGTTCCACATCAAATTCCATAGTGTACATCTATATATAAAAAAATATGTAGACAACGGACACTGAACTCCAGGTAGAGAAAGGTAATCTAACTTTGCACGTGTGTGTGTGTGAGAGCACGCAAGGTAGAGGTGGGAGGGACGGGGCAAGAGAGGTGGGAACTTGTGAAGTTGTGATCAGGAGTCTTCTGCACAATGCAGAGAGAGATTACTGAATTTCAGAAATAGCAAAAATCCCCAGTCCTTTGGGAAAAATCAACCAAAAATCCAAAAGTTTATCATTAAATTAATAGTGATATGCTGTACTTGCGTCATTGATTCTAACTTGACTTGTAGACTATTAGACGACTTGCAGATTGTTAATTTTTCTAAAATTCTGTTGTATTTTTCAGTATTTATTAAATAATGTATATATGTTTTCAAGTTATACATATGTAACATTTTATGTTGTAAGAAGGTAGTGTTACATTGTTTATTTACTTGAACTTTCGTTAACAAAAACAAATTTTCAACAAATCAATGATAGTTGAAATTAAATGAAAGTTATAGTTCATTGAGATTTTTACAAAGTGAATATAAAGTAAGATATTTATATCACAAAATTGTATTACAATACTTGAATGGTTATCAAACTCTCCCTATTAGCCTTGTTAGATTATTTTACTATTTCATATTGCAATGAGATGTCTTACCATATTTATTACATAAATAAACTATTATAATATATTATGTTCCATATTCCATTAATGATTACATCACTTTTCTTTAATTTTTTAGTACTCAAGTGGTCTACAAATCTGGCTGATGGAAATGTCTTTATTATATTTATAAATCTATATTACTAATTTTCAATGCAGAATTTTCACACAGAATTTGAAAGAAAACTATGCAACCTCTGGACATGCAAAGAAAAAAAGAAAGAAAAAAAATAATCATACTTTCGATTTTGACTGAAGATTGGAAATTATTTGATTGTGTTATTCTCCCTATTCACATACTGCACGAACTGATTGAATTCTCTTAATCAGTGCAACACGTCTTACAACAAAGTTGACATGTGATAGCAAGGCACTATGGAAAAGGCTGTCTACCATTTACTATTTCCTATGGATGTGTTGTGGAAAAGCAGCTTTTTTTATATTCTTGGTATGTATGAAACTGTTATCCTGTACAAGTACTATAAACACTTATTGCAGTATTCATGAAGATACTTTGGATAAAATATTTAATTGATTGTAATGTCATACAAGAGCATTTTATATGTTGTTCTTGAGCAGTGTGTGTACTATGTTATGTTCCTCTTGCTGAGTTGAAAAAAAGGAAAAATATGAAAGTGCTATTCTTATTACTAGTACTAATCCTTTTTTGGATTATTTAGTGTAAAATATCAAATAGTCTTATCAATTTATTATCAATTATAATATCTCACAGTCTACACATTACATTGCCTATTAAATCAAGACATAAAACATCATGTAGACTACACGAGATATATAAAATTATACTCTGCGACAGAACTTTGGTCAGGATATGTTGAATTTACATTTTATGACCTTCCTTTGAATGACCCTTCCTGTATTTGAACTGTATCAAGAGATAAGGGAAGTCTAGGAACAATATAATAAATATTCCTGGAGCTTTTGGGGTCCTTGGAGTAGATTCAACATGTGTCTGTCATATGTGATGCAGGTTATTATATATTATACTTATATTTTTGTGTAATATGGTAATATGCCAGTCGTTTGCAATATTTTATTTGAATTCAATAAGTGTTCCCTCCAAACCATGCAATTGTTTCTTTAAAAGCATTAACCTTCAAAATGACTACTTGTTGTAGCATAAATGCCCAGTCCATCTATTGTTAATTCTCAGAGGGCAAAAGCATGCCTCAAAAAACAAAACAATTACCTTAAGTGCTCATTTGCACAGTGAAGTGCACACAGAAGAGGACTAAAGAATTAATGTCATAAAAATATTTAAGAAACTATAGTTTATGATTAAAAAGCATTCATCCAAAATTCACACAAAGCTCTAACATTCATATTTCACGTCACAAAACACAGAAAGGGATTTAAAAGGCTGGTGTATTATATCACAAAAGCAAACAGCAGACCAAATGACATTAAATGCAAGACATTTTAATACTGATATTTTCAACAGTTCACAAAACTATGCAATTACATCACAAACGTTATGGCCACTGCACAAAAATAAAGTACTTTACCTCTGCTTTAGGAATATTAATCTTTAGATCACAGACTCTTAAACAATCACCTACCAATAAATAAAGATTCTGTGCATTAAACAACTTCACAGATTTTGTAAGCACAAGAGATCGAAGATACCTACACTGCACTTAAAATTAATTCTTCGGTACATCCATTTTAAAATGCCTAGAGTTTTGTAAACTATGGTTTTCTTTGCAGGAAAATAGCATCAACAGGTCTATGCCTTTAAAGCAATGCTTTCAATTTCTTACTATTATTTACACATCATTTCCATAAACTTTGATCATCCATTTCATTAAATTATTCCAGAAATCTAGGAGTGTCAACAACACAAACATATCTACATGAATGTGGCACCAAATAATATAATGATAAGTTAATAAGAACACAATTCATAGTGCTCATTCATTGTATCAAAAAAAAAGTTTCCACAGCAGCTAGTGTAAAGTTCACTAATGAAGCTAGGAGATACTTTTATAAAATAATTTTAATACAAAATTTAATAGAAAAAAAAAAAGCTTTATACAATTCTAGTAAAACAATACCAGAAGATATTAAATTTCATTTTGAAATATTCAACTAAAAAAAAAGTTCACAGAATTCTTGAATTTTAGTATCATTACACTAAACAGCAATTTACAATTTTTCAACAGAAAAACATTGATATCAATATGTACTTTGAAGTTACTTTTGGGTGATTTAAAAACAATTTTGGTATGAAGAGAAAATGGGAACAAAGAGCATTTTCAAAAGTATCCTCTGATTTTTGCAGGATCTAAGATTAACTACAAGTACCGTTATCAATATGTCAGAGCTTTGTCATTACAAACTGAAATGATGTTGTATAATATTTTTCCTTCAAAATGTACCAAGAAAATAAAATGATAATTAAAGGAAAATTTGGTATCATAATTACTATAATATATTATGATACATGGCTGATATTACAAAGGCTAATATGCTTTCAATAGAAATTTCATTAAAAAATTCTGCAATCCATTTGAATTTGATAAATTAGAATATAAAGAATAATTTCAATAAATCATACTTAAATACATATAAAAGTCTTGAAAGAAAGATGCAAGAAGATGTGACATTCGCACAGATCTTTTTTTAAGGAATTAATTATATTTAATAAGGAAGCACGACATACAACATTCATAGGGCAGATATCACATTCAATGACACTGTTCATTTTAAGTGTGCGAGTTAAACTTGTGATTCACAAAAATTGTTGAATCAAATAAACATCTACTTAATTTAATTTTTAAGATACAAACAAAATAATTTTCATAATGATTTTGATTTGCAGAAAAGACAAAAGGCATGCCTTGAATCGACATCAAATCTAATGGAAGAGCACCACCTATATAATACAACAGGCAGGCAGTAACTATGCATGCATTGATATTTCTAACCTGCTTTTGTATACTTTAGGTTAGTTACATGGACTTAATCCAACTGATGAACAGCATCAGTCAAGAGGCATTACTGAGTCCCCTGACCATGTGCAGGTTTTGATGCTCAGCAAAGCCTATTGACCACAAGTGCACGGGCTTACAATTTTTTTACTTTAACTTATTAGCTATTTTACAACACAAGCAAAAATTATGAACTTCAATATTGCACATTGCTATGATTCAGTTGTTTGTTCAATAAGTTGAAGGGCAATAAGTATTTTTTAAATTTTTGAACCCCATAGATGTTATATTACAACAACCCTAATTTGTTATTTTAGGAATTGCTTCTGCAACATTTAACATTTAGGAATATGGATTTGAAACTAACTAACTATATCCAAAACTATTATATCTTCAATATAATAGCAATTTCCTTGCAAAAGTATCAAAATATTTAATATGAAAGGAGAAAAGGACAGAGATAGAGAAAAGGAGTGAAATAAAAACAAAGCAAAATAAAAGTGTTATCTTACTATGAAATGATAATGAAAGAAGGACCTACGTTAATGTTTTCTATAGAAGAAATGAATTATTAAGTAGGGTTAATTACTTCCGAAGAATATTTCACAAATTTTATAAGAGGAAATTGTGACAGATATTTTACGAGTTCTAACCCCCGTGTTTGAATTTCAGTCTACAATGAGATTCAAGGGATAAGATGTTAATACATCATCTTCAGTTATCTAAATGGCCACAAGCCTCTCCAAGAGAACTGAGGTAAGGCACCACTTTGAGAACCACTGTCGCAAGTTGATGATGGAATTGTAAGCACTAAACTACAGCTGTCTTGAATTCATGACATGCCAACCTGTTACAAACATAGTATAATATACTAACTGAGCCCTACAGTCACCCAGGATGTTTTCTTCTAGGATATAAGTGTATAGTTTCAGTCAGGAGGTTCTACGCCCAATAACACTTCAAAAAAGGAAATATCACAACTAATTACGAGTGTATACAATTACTCTTTGCATACATTTAATAAGGCGAATTTCAGCCCTAATTTTCTCAACAAGATCTGATTATGTAGCCCAGTGCACTTGGGTCTTGTTCTGAGACAGAGATTGCTATCAGTTGGTAGGATGGCTGACCTCTTTGCGGCTACTGCCTGCCGCACCGCTGGGAGTAGGCTCCTTTCCAACAGGAGGTGCCGCTGCCATTGGCACAGCATTCACAGCTTTCTCTCGACTCAGCACAGCATCTGGATTTATTTGAGGCGTTGTTGACTTCTGTGAAGATACCTATGAAAAATAGTATTTTAAATCAATATGATGAAGCTATATTTTAACATTCACTAGGTCAAAAATATTTTTTAAATAACTGCACATCCTGGGAAGAATCAGTATAACATGTATGAAATGACCAAATGTGAATGTAAACTAAATCTGTTTCAGAGGGTTCGGTTGTTTTCAGTATAATAATTACTGATGTCAATTGTATTATCATTACAGCTCTATATCCTATTTATTTATTTACGTCAAAACAGTTAAAAATGTGGTATCCTATAAATGAGGAAGGGTTCCCACTTCCACAAAGGGAAGCACAAAAATTTCCACTTTCAGAACAATTTTATACTTATCTCAACTGATTAATTAGAACCACTGTAGGTATAAAAAACACCAGGTAAATTCATAAAATA